AGGGACAGTGGTTTGGACGTGTCCAGAGGAGGGACAGTGGTTTGGACATGTCCAGAGGAGGGACAGTGGTTTGGACATGTCCAGAGGAGGGACAGTGGTTTGGACATGTCCAGAGGAGGGACAGTGGTTTGGACATGTCCAGAGGAGGGACAGTGGTTTGGACATGTCCAGAGGAGGGACAGTGGTTTGGACATGTCCAGAGGAGGGACAGTGGTTTGGACATGTCCAGAGGAGGGACAGTGGGTATATTGGTAGAAGGATGTTAGAAATGCAGCTGCAGGAAAAAGACAAAGAGGAGACATCTGGATATTTGTGCTACATAAACTGAAATTCAAAGTTAACATATCAGGACCGGTGTAACGGTTTTCTCACAGTCTGGACTATAACACGGGGTCAAAGGGGATAAATTACAGGTACATTAAAAAAATAGAATATCGTGAAAATGTTAAACAAAGAAGTCGTTTCAGAAAGTGAAACTCATGACAGATTCATTACAGAGTGAAATATTTCAAGCCTTTATTTCTTGTAATTTTGATGATTATGGCTTACAGATGATGAAAACAATAATCTCCTGGTGTCCCACCCTAATCAGCTGATGAACTCCTGGACATGAGCTGGAAATGTTTCATTCCTCGAGTCCAGCCTCTCCTGAACCACAGGCATCAGAAGCGTCTTACCTGCTGAGGAGACACAGACTTGGACTGTCTCTCAGTGGTCCAATGTCCTCTTTTCAGATGAAAGTAAATGTTCATGTCATTTATAAATCAAGGTCCCAGAGTCTGGAGGAAGAGAGGAGGTCCAGAATCCATGTTGTTCCAGTCCAGAGTGAAGTTTCCAGTCAGGGATGGTTTTGGGTCCATGTCCTCTGTTGGTGCTGGTCCACTGGGTGTTCTGAAGCCCTCGGTCCACGCAGCATCTAGCAGGACACTTTAGAGACTTCATGCTTACTTCTGCTGACAAGCTGGATGGAGATGTTGGTTTCATTTTCCAGCAGGACTCGACACCGGCCCACACTGACAAAGTCTGTGGAATATTCTCATTTTCGGAGACTGAATTAGTTTAATTTTTCCTCGTTTATAAGCCATAATCCTACCTGCACCGTTATAATTTGGCAGGACGATGGCTCAGTGGTTAGCACTGCTGCCTCACAGCAAGAAGGTCTTGGGTTCAATCCCCAGTTGGATCCGGGGTCTTTCTGGGTGGAGTTTGCATGTTCTCTCCGTGCATGCGTGGGTTTTCTCCGGGTACTCCGGTTTCCTCCCACAGATTAAAAACATGCATGTTAGTCTGACCTCAGGCCCGGGATCACTTGTAAAACAGATCTGTGATCTCAGTGGGATTTGCCTGGTTAAATAAAGGTTAATAAATAATAATAAATAAATAAAATATTCTACTATGTTGTTGTTTATTATGTTTATTTTGGACCTTCTAAATCTATTTCTTTTTCATTTTTTTTACTTTATTTTATAATCTTATTACTTGCTTTAGTAGTTCTTGTTTGTTTTGAGCGAGCCACGTTGGTTCCTCTCATCCTGAACTTTCATTGCACTGCTGAACTTGTGTTAACCTGCATGACAAACGAACAACGTAACATAATAATCAAAATTACAATAAAGGCTTGAAATATTTCTAACCTAATTCTAATATTTCCAATTATATCTTTGTTAAAACCAGGTCTCAATCATGTTAGTAAAAAGTTTCAGTCATGAGCTGAAAAGATTAATTATTCCCCCAAAATAGTTTCAAATAATGTCAAATGTAAAACAGTGCAACTGTTTCAGCCATTTTCTGACTTCAACATTTAATAGCTCGACACCGGAACATAATGTGGAAGCTGAAGCCAGAACAGCACGAGTGCCTCCTTCAGTGTAAGTTCACGTCCATGTAAACGGGACACGAGCACGCAGGACCAAAAGACAAAAGCAAAGCTTTTTAGTTTGTTCCAGGGGTTGGCTTTTGTGGATTCAGTTATTACTTTTGTGCTGTATAGTTGAAATATTCATTTTCTGAAAACTTTTAGGTAAAAAATAGTTACTCTACGATTTAAAACACCTCAACAGTGTGCAGAGGGAATAGGTGGGACTTTCAGCCCCGTGTTCAACGTGTTCGCTGGTCACGTTGTGAGAAATACTCGGTGTTCAGAGAGACTGCAACTGAAAATCAACACATTTCTTCTCAAGTTTAAATGAGCAACTCGTGTCCAACAGCTGAATCCCTGTGAAACATTAACTTTTGCTTTTCTCTGCATGAACATTTCAACCTTACACGATCTCAAAATGTAACTTTTGCTCGTTGAAAAACGTATCAGGATTTAAAATTTTCTTCAAACTGCGCACAAATATTTCATGTTTAACCACGTAAAGAGCCGCTCATGTCGGCAGTGACTGATCAGGCTTAACTTGAGGAAGGCACGCGCCGAGTCGTGATCTAACGAGGGAGATGGACGGCGACAGGAAGGTGAAATTAGACCATCTTGATCAGAGGATGGAGGTGACTCATCTCTTAAAGATAGCTAATCCCAATCCCTGGAAGGATTACGCTCTTTCCTTCTACAAGGGTGTTAATAAAACACAGATTAGGAATCAAACTGGTAAATGAAACAACACCTGCCGATGCACATCAGCAGTTTATTAAAAAATCATCCATCAAAATCTGTCATTGCCACAGTTTCAAACTTTGGTGGCACGTTGAAGGAGCGTGATGACACCGGCTCCTCCTGTAATTGCTTTGTCCTCGGGCGCATGTGAAGTCTTGACAGCTCAAACCTGGTAACCTCGTTGCTCCAGCAGTTGGGTCTAATGAAGCATGCACATTACCCTGGAGAGGGAAAGAGCTCTCCTGCTGCGTACGTACGCGTGCGTGTTTTGGCACTTCTTGACTACAAGGACGGAGCAGTTTGTGTTGGATGCACCGACATCACGAGTGTTACAGTGTGAGCGCAGCCGAAAGCAAAGGTTTCCTTCAAATTTCATCGGGCTCTTCAGTTTCATTATCGAGAAGATATGGTGCTGGAAGAGGAAATCTGTGCAATCAGCTGCAGAAGAAGAGCAGAGACGGCGCACAATTGAGAGGAAGTGGCACGAAGAGGAACGTGTGAGAATCCAAACTCCCAGCGATCTCTTCAAGGCTCCCGGAAGATCTGTGGCATGCCATTATCACCATCATCACCACCACTTTCATCCTCCTGGCTGCTGTAATCGTTCTTGCCATTTCCCCCTTCAGCTTTCCAACCACCACCTCCTTCAAAATAAAATCCCCTGCAGCGTCGTTGTCTCTATTGGCCTCATTTGAATAGCATTCTCAGAGAAAACAGAAAATAAAAAAGACCGAACCGACCCGTCTCACCTACCACAACACATGCATCATATTTTCACAGAGAGCTATAAAAAAAGCATTGTGGGCCCAATTCCCCACAGTTGGGAAGACAGGGACTGTATTTCAGCTAGACTCATCAATATGCAAAACATCAGAGCATTGCTTGCCATGAGAATATTTCCTCCCGTGCACACTCTCAAAATGTGCATAAACATCATCACATTTTGTGTTTTCCCCCTCCCCTCCTAAACAAGCTTTCAGTGGCAAGAGGAAGTATGCAAATGTGGCACGAACATAATCACATTTTGATGAAAAGCACCGGGATTCAAAGCAGCAATTTGCCCTATGTGATTTTAAAACTCTGCAGGCGATCGTCAAACCAAAGAAGCACAGAACGAAAGACTCCGGGCTGGAATCAACGCGTTACCTTTTATTTGTGAAGAAGTGAACAAACCCCCAACACTGGATTACATTTCAAAGCACAGAGCCTAGAGCTTTAGTTGTGGGAAGCATGTGTAGTGTGGGAGAGAGCATCATCATCATGACCTCACGGTGGGGTAGATGTAGGTTAAGGCATCTTCTTCTCTCCGCCTGCAGTGCTGCTCACTCTTCCTCCCTCGTTCTCAACTTAGTTCCCTGGGCTGTCGTTCCTGGATTGTTAAATCCCCGCTCCTTTAATCTTCTTACTCAGCTACATCCTCTTTAAAGATGCAGAACCACAGAGGAGACGTGGGATATGTCTGATGCTGAGCAAGGCGGGGCGGGACATGAGGATTGGAGGTGAATTAGGGTTGAGACACAAAAATGTTCTGCAAGCGATACAAAGAGAGACAGTTTTGCCTCTCGTCAAGAAGTAAAGAATGTGTTGAATTTATCGCTCTGAGGCACTAAAAACACTAAAAGTAGCACCAAATCGCTCATGATTAGTTTAATGCTTCATTTCGTAAAGCCTTCAAACAGATTTCAGCTTAATGCATTGATAAAAGTAACTTCAGAGCAGGATAAAAAGCTGCAACTACTCAAAAACCTACCTAACTAGAACATGCATGAGTTCCAGCCTCACTGACATTAAACTGCCCCGATTCTCCGCCACCGAGCACCACTGTGAAGAAACGCCTATCAATCATCTGCAAGCTGGAACACAGCAGCAACATTCGATAACGGTGCATCACCTGGGACTCAGCGAGATGAGCATAATCCGTTCAAAAATGGATCACAGCTGCCCTGCACGCCACGTGCTGCTCGCTACGAAGAGACGGCGCTACTGTACATTTCTGGGTCATCTTTCAAGTGCTTCTGTCTTTGAAGTTCGGCTGCACAGAGCCGAATGACTCCAGTAACAAATTCATGAGACAACCGCACAACGTGGAAGCTTTGTCAGTCGGTGCAGGAGAACGATCTGAAAACCTACAGAAACATTCCCTTCAATAAGCACAAGATCGGTGACATTTTCCGCACATTTTGAGCTGAAACTATTAAACCGCTTCCTGCGAGTGTGGGAGGTCACACAGCATTTTATCACCAGCCCTCACTGACAGTGTGCATGCAAATAAAAGGCTCAGATTTAGCTGTAATTAGTGGGTTAGAAGTACCTGTTTCCCAGAAGTAGACAGACTTCCCATCGTCTGCCTGCGTGTGAGCCTTCCAGAAACCACAGAACAGCAGCAATGTCACCAAAAAGCTCTCCCCTGTCCTTTTATTGAGGGTCCCTCCTGCACCCCTCCACCCCAGCCCCATGGTCCACCACAGGACAAAAGTAAATCCACTCAGCTCCAAAGGTCAGCAAAGGTGACGACGACGAAGAACCAAACCACACGAGTCCAGAAAGCAAGAAGAGCAGCGAGCTTCAGTTGTAGAGGATGTGATGAAGAGTGTGTGTGGAAGGGGAAAGGGTGTGAATGGTGGTCCTGCAGGAGTTTCAGGGGTCCAGAACTTATGTTCTTGTGAAGGACAGAGGGGGTACTTTTGTTCCCAACTTGGCCGGATGGTCCCAGAGGGAGGCGGTCAGTGATGGGGACTGAGCCGCAGAAGGATGGTACGGTCGTCCTCCTCCATCGTATCCGCTTCCACCGTTGCTGCCTCCGTCCTCTGGCTGCGGAGCAGTGACAGCGGACGAGTGTCTGCAGTGTGCTTCGCCTCCCTCCCTCACTTCCCTCTCACTCTCTCACTTCCTCTCCTATTCGCTCACTCCCTGAGCTCCCTGCTATTCCTACTCCTACCTTTTGGCTATTTTCCTCTCCTCCTCTCATCTTCCATCATCTCTCCTCCTCATGTTTCCTTTGTTTTTCTCTCAAGCACGCTCACTCCGTACTTTTTAATTCTCACATTTAATCTCCATCACATGAGGATGGCTGCTCCCACTCCTCCTCCTCCTCCTCCTCCTCCTCCTCCTCCTCCTCTCACACTGGTTTTCCCACATGCAGTGTTTGTGCGAGCGCCTGGAGACCAGCAGGACTCAACGCTGGTCTGAGGAGTTCCTGCAAAGGATCCGGAGGCAGAGAGACGAGCTGGGCTTAACGCAGAACGATGGCAGGGGAGGGGACGAAGGAAGCAAGGAGGAGGGGGGGGGGTATTCTGCTTGTGTGAAGAGGGTGTGAATGGGAAAATGATGGAACAGAAAAGGTGATAATGAGGATTTAGAGTAATATTTCAATTAAATATTTTATTATGAACCAACAGTTAGAATGATTCATTTTCATAATTGGCTGTTCATTCATTGGTTATTCAAACAGGATGGACAATCTGCCTCTAACCCAACCGTTAATCTTAGATTAACAGTTTTAATTGAAGGATTTCCAACAATTGAGATTTTTCTTCAGCAAATTGTTATTTCACCATCATAACTACCAAACATCTAGAGTGAAACGTTTGTTTGATTTTGAAACCGTTATCTTTATCCACCTTTACAGATCGTGAGGGTCACTGGTGTCCATGCCCAGCCATCACTGTACAAGAGGCGGGCACGCCTGGACAGGTCTCCAGTCCATCACAGGGACACGTGGACAGGTCTCCAGTCCATCACAGGGACACCTGGACTGGTCTCCAGTCCATCACAGGGACACCTGGACAGGTCTCCAGTCCATCACAGGGACACCTGGACTGGTCTCCAGTCCATCACAGGGACACCTGGACTGGTCTCCAGTCCATCACAGGGACACAGAGACAAACAAGACAAACAAACAACCATTCACTCTCTCACCTAGGGACAATTCAGAGTTACCAGTCAGTCCAACATGCATGTTTTTGGTCTGTGGGAGGAAACTGGAGAAAACCCACGCATGCACGGAGAGAACATGCAAACTCCACCCAGAAAGGCCCCTGGCTCAAATTTGATCCAGCGACGTTCTCGTTGTTCAAACTTTTGCTAATAACTATGTGGAGTCAACTTTGTCTGCTTGTTAAAATTGTTCCATGAGCTACAGGACGGATTTTAACGAAACTTCAGGAGTGAATCTTTGGATGTCTCTCCAAGTGATCAAATTCTGGAGCCAACCCGACACAAACGGTCACCGCTGATCTTAGAAATAGATCAAACTCAGTCCGTTTTACAGATAATTTGCTAAAACTTGACATGAAATCTGTTTATATCGCACATGCCATTTACAAAGTTTGACCAAAATGGCAACAACTCAATAATTACTTCTCAATTTAAGAGGACTGTAGTCTAAAAGTCTGTGATAAAATGTTGTGGGTGATATGCATTTCTTCATGAAAAGCTAAGGCTTTAGTTTTACAGACTTGTGAATATGAAAAATATTGCTCCACCATCACCGTTGCCCTCTGGTAGGACAGAAGACCAAACGGGGGTGTCACACAACACTGACCTTCTTTAAATGGCTCGACTCCAAAAGTTGATCCAATGTAAATTTAATGATTACTTTCTGAAAGTTTCATTCAAATCTGCCAGTGGATTATGAAATATTTTGCTAACAGACAAATACAGACACAGCTAAAACATTATTGCCCCCCTTCCTCCATTCAGCAGGGGGACCTGGGTGTACCCCAGGTGCAATGGGTTAATAATAAGAACATACAGTGATAACACATAGCACTTTACTTTACTTTAAACGTCAATGAAAGACTGCAAGACCACGTTATAATTTTCTAAACTCCCTGTAGCTCTCTAAAGAAAATGTTCTGAGCTCTGCAGATTTTAACAGACATAATTCATACGGAGGTAAACCGTGTAACGGGTGGGAACAATTAGGGACCATAGAATAAACAACCTTTGGAGAACTAATGAGCATTTTATCATGAAACATGGTGAAGGGAAAGACCCAATTAGAATCTACGAGGTGAGAAAGAGCAAGTTTAAAAACCAGCTGAATGGGAGAGAACATAGAAAATAACGTGGATCAGAACTGTTTGTAAAGCAGAAGTCCAAGAACAATCAGAACGAGGTGCAAACACGGGACAAAAAAAAACCTGAGAATGATCCGTCAATGATCAAAACAGGCAGCAGATGAGGGAACCAAGGACGAGCAAACCGTGCGGGAGCGGCAACCAGAAAACTAAGGGCAGGCGGGGATGTGTGGGCTGAAACTAATCGAACAAATCCACGATAATAGAAAACTATTAACTTGTAAAAGAAAACTGGAGCACTTAAATAGCAACAAAAACAAAATTCAAAGCCATACACAACAAACCTCACTGACCGCCGATGATGCATTTAGGTTTCCAGAACAAGCCAGAAGTGATGGAGACATCCAAACATGCAGCTTGGGCTGGGATGGAAACGTCTTACGTCCACTTATTTAAATAGATATTATAGTCATTTTAAATATGGTTTCCAATAATTAGTACCTTATAATGAGCGACATCAGTCAGAGCACAGAGGATGATGAAAAGGGCAGAAGTCTTCATGCATGCTAGGCTAATGGCTAGTGCTACAAGTGCCTTTGTTTTTCAGGTTTATAAAACAACTCTTGAAAAATGACACATTGAATGAAAGAAAGTCACATTAGCGAATATTAAACAATAAAGTTAAATAAGATGATAGAGGGTGCATTTTATCCCACAGTGCAACATAACTTTAGACAAATGATTCTATTTACAGTTGTGGGAGGGGGGGGGGGGGGGGGGGGACATAAAATGTTTGAGAAGCGCTGGTCTAAAGAATCATTTCAACCTGCTCTCATGATCAACTCATTTTTTTACATGTATTACCTGTTTTGTAGTCGTTTTCCATCTTTTAGTTGGGTCACTTTTACTTTCACATACTTTGATTCCTGCCGTCACTTGTCCAGAGAATGTGAATTATTCACACTCACCATGCTCCATAACTTTTACTGCTTTTATTTGTTGTTGTGAATTATATTAAAATGTTCCATGATCCTTACTCTTTGTAATAATCAGTCTTAATGTGACAGTAAAAGATGATTGCATTATCCTCAAGGTGACTGATACGATTAGAGGCATCTTTCTTAGAGAACCCTTGGGAGCTGCTGCCTTCTAGATCCCCGTCTGCTTCTGACTGCAGCTGGGTTCGGATAAGAATGGGAGTTCTACAAAACTTTTTCTGTTCAGGAAGTCAGAACGGGCGCCTCAGACAGGTGAAAGCATCGATAAGAGTGAAATTGTAAATGCACTGATCTGTGATTGCTGGCTCTTCTCCAAAGCTTTGTCAATAAATATGATGAAGCGGACACCTGGTTGTTTTGGGAATCTCTTTTTTCCACGACAGTCAGTCATCACCCTGTGCCCGACTGGACTCCTCTGTAGCCCGAGACCTGTTCCACAGAAGCCATTTTGAAGTGAAGTGGTACCGCAAGCAGGTGGAAGAAAGAGTGGTGAATTCCACTTGGAATAACTTCTGCAACCAGCATGCACTGGTGCAGAAAAGGAAAGCAGCACCCATTAATAAACCTGAAATCTTTGGTTAAAACTTTGGCATACAATGGGGAGGGGGCTGCGCATTCTTTCAAGAATTAAAGAATGCTATAGCGTCATTTTTCCTGCCTATGAGATCTGCCTTAAACATTGATTTTTGAACTCCAACCTGTTGTAAGAGACTTCACAGCACCGTCAGTACAACTTGTTAAAAGGTTGGTTTCTTAATGATCTGTCCTTCCATACGATTTATCTAAAGGTGTCAACGTCAGTGTCTGTGTCAGCTGAATGCACGGACCAAGAATAGAAACTGAGCCACCACGGAGGTGGTTGGAAGCAGCACAGAGGTGAAATTATTTGAGTTAATGTTCTTCAGTTTCATCCCCTGACAGAGTGATAACGCTGCGGCTGTTCAAGGACATGTGACTGACAGGCTTTAAGTCTGGCTCAGACCGTCGTATCGAGTTTTAACTTGGACATGCCAGATAAAAAGGACTCGCCAGCCTGGTTAGAGTCTAGTGACTCAACTATTATGTCAAGTTTCATCAGAATGGATCAATAAAGTTTGAGGATGTTGCTTTGAGCTCGACTTCATTCCAATAATAAATAAAGAGCTATAGCTATTCTCTAATGAGATCATTTGATCTTAAATCTCAATTAACCAAAAGAATTTGGCTCAATCCCGAGTCCTTTTCCCTTATTTGAAAGTAAAAATAATAATCCATGACTTTTTTTCCATCCTTTGGAGCATTGGTATACATAAATTTCATTTTATTTTATGTTCTTTAGTTCTGTATATTCATCACTCACAAACAAAGGAATGATAGTTCTGTCCGAGTCTTTCAGTAAGTAATCATTGGGTATACTTCTACAACTGAGGAACATTTGAAGGCAATGCAAATCAGAAC